AATTCTTTGCATGTGGATTGTCTTTTTATGAACATGTTTAATATGATTATGGTGTTCATATATCTACATGCACTCATGGTTTTGTTTGTTTTGATTCTTTGTGAAAGTTTACAAAAGAAACATCTTTTAGAAAGGAATATGATTTGGCCATGATGTGAATATTCAAATGCATTATTTTCTGCATGATTTTTATTTTTAAAAATGCATGAAGGGTTCATGGCATATCTCGACAATATGAATAAAATTAGGATTCTTGATTTTGTTCATTTTGATCTTGATGATTTTGTGTTTTTGTTAGATGAATTGTTCATAAACATAGCATAAAATTTTTAATAAACTTTTTTGTACATGATGATGTATGGTTAGGCCATATGAGTTATGGTTGAATGAATGGTTTGATTTTTGTGTTCTTTGAGAAAGATTTGACAAATTAGAAGTGCTAGAAACACAACCTTTAATGGATATCTTCGCGAAATGCAGAATCTGCATTCTGTCGCGAAATATCCGGATATGATATCCAGATATGGGGTCTTGTGATATCCGAATATGGATATCCAGATATGGGGTCTTGTGATATCCGGATATGATATCCGGATATGAATATCCGGATATATCCCCGACATATATTCGGATATTCTGGGTTTGCGTGAACAGTAATGGTACTGTTAATACAGAATGGTGTTATGAGTTTGTGGACCCTAGATTGATGAAGTGGGACTTCTGTAATAACTTATCTAAGTCAGAATCAAGTGATTAAGGGCTTGTGGCTTTGTGAGAAGCCTTAAGACATGAAACGTAAAAGAGAAGCATTGTCTTTATGTATATGCTTATGAGCTATGGTTGTTGATATGATTGCTGGTCCAAAACAGATTGTGATTCTGCCGTGTTTGCACTAAAGCTTGTGTGGACTCTTGGCTTGGATAGCTAGCTTGCAAGGTAAGCTTTCGTGTCCTCGGTTTAGCCATTGTGTGCTTTATGTGCAATGACTTATAATATGTATGTGTTGTTCCACTTCGATGGTAAGCCCGAGTATGTGGCATCATACAAGACGGTGACACTGTGGGTGGGTGCAAGTGGCGTCTTGCACTAGTGTGGGTAATAGACGTATTCCTGCATTTTTCTGGCCAGTAGATTAGTTATAACACACATGACATGATTATCTACTGCATTGCACAGATTTTGGAACTGATATTAAATTACTGCTTTTAGAACTTATATTGCACATGTAAGTGAGCTTGGGGTGAAAGATCCTTGAGGACCCCTTGTCTTACTGAGATTTCTATTTAGAGATCTCACCTACCTTTGGGGCACATATTTCAGGTTCAGGTAATGCGGGGGTTGAGACCTCTAGCGACAGGAGGCCAGAGCTTAGCTGATGTTTATGTTGTTTTGCTGCTTATGTTGGATGCTGGATTATGCCTGTTGCTATTATGCTTTTAGTTTCATGTTATGTTATTGAATTGAGACTTTGTTGGGCCTTGTTGCCTTATTTGGTGAGCATGAGGATTGTCTATGCCACATTTGTTTATGTATCGTTGTTTAGATTGGAGTTGTATAAACTATCAGGGTTGTCCGACTTACGTGTTGTAGTGTCGTGACTAGAGACTCAATTAATGATTTTATTTATGATATGAGGTTATTCAGTATAGATATCTGTCTTTTGCATTTACATACAGGCAATGTTCTTGAAAGAATTAAGTAATTCAACTTGGTAATATTAATGATGTCATAATTGAAAGTAAAAAGTTATTCCGCATTTTAATTAAGCGTAGCTTAATACGATGACATGTTAACAAACCGGGTATACACGAGGTGTTATAGACCAAGAAACAAACAACAGTTTCAAGATCTTCTTCAGAAGTAGAATACAGAGCTTTGGCAAATTTAGCTTATGAGCTTCAGTGGCTATCATTTCTCCTTCGTGATTTACAGCTTCCGCTCAACAAATCCATTCCTGTGTTTTGTGATAGTCAATCAGCCATCTATCTTGCTCACAACCCCACTTTTCATGAAAGAAGTAAACACATTGATATAGATTGCCAGGTTGTTCGAGAGAGAATTCAAGATGGTCTTATTCATCTTCTTCCTATCCGTTCAACATTACAAATAGCAGACTTACTTACAAAGGCACTACCTATTACTCAGTTCTAGATTCTGATTTTCAAGTTGGGTTTACGGGACATCCTACTTCCAACTTGAAGGGGGGTATTAGCTAATATGAAGTGGTGGCAACTTAATATTAGTTATGTTAGTTAGTAGTAAAGTTAGTTATCTGTTATAGTTAGAAGTTATTTTTCTGTTATTTTTCATATCAGATTTCCTTTGTTATATAAGGTTCTGTAATGTATTATTCTCAATAATTCAATGATAGTATTCAATTCTCAAGAGTATATGAATTTAATAGGAAGAATGGAAGAATGAGAAGATAATTTTTCACAGTGCTTTTGCTTTATACACAAAAGGAGAGACTGTAGAGGAGAAAGTTTGACAGAGTAATTGTTTCATTTGCATATAACATCACAATGAACATTGTTTGCCAACGAGGCATCAACTAGCTTAACAAATCCTTGTAAACCCCCCAACCATTCCTTCTCAGAATTTAAGACTGAAAAGGAATATTTTTAAGGTCCAATAGTGTAATGCCAGACCCTTTACGTGTGTGGACCTCCTTTGGGATGAATAATGAATTCAACTCTGAATAAAGCTCACTTTATTTATTTCATTGATGTGCGGACAATTTAAGGCACTACCCTCCTGTCTGTGATGCACTTTACCTTCAAGCTACCCATCATTGGGAGCAGTGTGTGCATTATTTGTTGAATAATTCACACATTGATAAAATTTATTGTTAGTAACAAATAAAAACTTAGCAAGAATCGCAAATAATGATTGACTTCATTGAACCCGCATAATTGATTGTACATAACTACAAGGAATGAGCGGCCACCAAAGAAGAGAGACGTGAAAGAACCCTTTGGCAATTGGTATACTTTGAACTTATGATAAATATCTTTAAGGCAAAGATTATCTTTACAAACTATATTATATTTGACCGGTAAGACATTCTTGAGCAGAGTATTATTGATCAGACATAGTCTAGTTTGTAAAAAAAAAAAATTGTTAATATAACCCTACTCTATCTTTAATTATATATTGGGCGAAAAAATGACCGTATTTCCATTTCAATATTTCCTTTTTATTGTTTTTTGTTTTTACCCCCTATCTGAAGCCCACCTTTTGATATGCATTGCTTGATTATCCTCACATGGCTTCAAGCTCATGCAATGGTCACGTCTTAGAGCTAGACTAATGGAAAAGCCAAAAAAAATTAAAAAAAAGCTCCTTTAACCATGTGGATGGAATCTTAAAAATGCATAACCTTTCAATTCTGTGAATATACAAAAAAGCGTACTTATTTGTGAATACACTTTATTTAAACACTTAATAAAAGAAAAAGGCCAAAAAGTCTTGCATCGTTTGATTAGGATGACCTCTTGCAACTTGCAAGGTTGATTTAGTGGGCAGAATATTCTTGTATTATTCTAAAGAATTATCTTCGTCAGTTCTCTCTCATAATATAGAAAAGGAAAAGGGGGAGAGGAGTGCAATTGCTGGGGCTACTTTTTTTATTTTAGTCCTCAATAAATTATTATGGATAAATACACTTTTGAAATCATAGATTAAAGGACTGAAGTAGCAGGTTTGAACAGAAAACCTCTCTGCATGGTTTGTGAACAAAACTAACATTAGTAGTGAGTAAATAAGAATTAGTAGCTTACTGGTTTGAACCTTTTTTTTTTTTTTTTAATCTTTACTCATCCAAAAACGTTTTTTAGCTAAATAAGAATAAGTGAGTAAATAATATATTAAATGATAAATTTAGTTTTAAAAACACTATTTGAAAGTGTTCTTGTTGCACAGAATTAATTGTTGGCTTTTCCCAATTCCCATCCTTTGTGAAGGTTCTTGTTTCTTTGCCAAAAGGCAGACAAAAATCATGGGGGGTTTGACTGCATGCATAATGTCCTCAGTGGTCATGCATTGCATCATCATCGCCATATTCCATGCATAAAACACAATGCATTGTCATCATGATCCTTCACGTTCGTACATAGGGTCCTGTACCACATGCTATAATGACTCAGTTATTACATGGCGCTATAACAGTATAACTCGTAACGTCCTCCCGTTAGTCATTTATGATAATCCTTATACAGAAACAGTACTTTATAGTAATTAATAGACAATTACAACATAACAGTGATAATTAATAATGATTTTTTTTACTTAAACCGATTCATATGTGTAGATACCCTTAAACTGATTCATAGAAGTGTGATACATACATATATATATATATATATATATATATATATATATATATATATATATATATATACTTCGACTAATTTTTTTGAAATAAATACCACTAAAACGTGGCCAAGAATAAGATAATCACTTTCAATCAAATTAGGATGGATAATCCCACCTCTATGAAGTTCTATTTTTATTATTTTTTCTGCTTGGCCTTTGCTTTTTTGTATTGGATATTCATACACAAACTATGCGTGAGGAGCAAGAGAGTAAAGCAGGGATGAAGGAGAGCAAAGTAACATCTTCATGGGGGCAGTGGTAACAACGAAAGAGTCGAATTGGAAATCGTAGGTGGAAAAGAGCAATGAACATATAGGGCAAATGATAAAGGTAGAAAAAGGACACATTTAAAACCCACCAACGAACCTACTTTAAGGCAATGGCCCTGGCCTGGAAAGGACAAATTATGAAGGTAGAAAGCAATGACAGAGAAGAAACGTGTAGGAACGAGCGCAATGACTAAGTGCACCAAAACCTTCTTTGGAGATAGGACACTTAATAAGGACATGCAGCGATCACGCCTTTTGTGTCCATCTTCAAAAATACAAATACAATCATTAAATTATTGGAAGATTCGCAGCAGCTTCGTTCGACAACAGCATACAAATTAGACCAAAGTGGGAGAGAATTTTTATATTATCATTAACATTACGCCCTTAGCTAATAACAAATTCTGAAATAGGTATATCCATCTGATGTCAAGAGTAATGGTTATTAGTTAATCCCATCAAAACCCTTTCTTACTAAGAGCACAAACTCATTTCAAAGTTTCCATTGAATTAATTAAAAAAGAAAAAAAGAAAAGCTAAAAAGAATAGAAAGATTCTACTTTCTATTCTGTTTCCCCTGCCATCAAATTAGCCAAAGACCATCATCATCATGACCCAGTTGAATGAAACCACAGACACCTCACATGACAGAGCAAGCATTTGGGTTCTCATCACTAAACATCTGTGGTGGGTGTGCATTGAACTGAAAGTGGAACTGTTCTGGGTGGACTTGCCCATAGTTATAGCCGCCAAAATTACCATACCCATAACCAAATCCAATTGCAGGTGCCAAATACTCCATCCTACCCTGCTCTATTTTTCCTCCTTCCTCCTCATTCTTCTCATTATTATCTCCTCCTCCACCACCACCCTTCTTCTTCTTCTCGCCACCAGCACCTTCCTTGTCTTTCTTGGGAGGGACCACCTCAACCTTCCTCTTAAGCTTCTCCATCAAATTTTCCATAAGAGATTTCACGTCCATTGTCCCCTTCACAGTTACAGTATCCTTTTCCTTGTCTATGGTCATCTCATGAACACCTACACCCCCAATAAAATCACATTCTTGCCAAATTAGCCAAATCATAAAGAAAATTAAACCCCAAAAAAATCATTAAATTAAAAAAACACACACACACCTTTGGTCTTCAACACAATCTTACGAATCTTCTCCACACATCCCTGGCAATGCAGGGCCATTTTCAGAACAACAGACGACACCTGTTACATTAATCCAACAAATAAATAAGAAGAAAAAAGGAAATAAAAAAAAAAAAAGATCAGCATCTCGTGCATTAATTTAATAGAAACAAACTAGGGGGCAAAAAAAGAAAAGAAAAATCCCAGGTTGGCAGTGGCAGAAAAATTGAAATAAATAATAGAACCCCAAGGTTGGGGGGACCAGTGATGAACCTCTTTGTCTTTAGTTTTTTGGTTGTCTGTTTGTTTCTCGGATTTGTTGTCGGTTTTGGTGCCCTTGTTCTCCTCCTTCTCCTTCTTGGGCTGCGGAGAGATCACTTCCACCTTCTTCTTCATCTTCTCCGCCAGCTTGTCCCTCAATTTAGTGGGGTCCACTTTCCCGGTGACGGTTAACTTCCCGGCGTTGCTCTCCACCGTCTCCACACCTTCCCCCCCCAAAAAAAAAACACACACACACACGGTTCAACTCTTCAACGCTCAAAAAAATATAGATGAAATCCGAGATCTGATTTTGTTTTGAATAAACATCCAAGAGTGAAGAACAAAATGTAGATAAGTAAAAGAAAAAAAAAAATGGTTTTGGAAACAAACCTTGGAAAGAGCGAACCATTCGAATGATTTTTGAAGCACAACCGTCACAATGCATGTCGACCTTCAAGACCACAGTGATGGAGTCATCTTTGTTGCTCTTGCTGTTGTTGTTTTCTGTCTTCTTCTTCTGCAACACCAATATGTGGTGTTAGCACCTAGCAACATAGACATCCAAATAAGGAAAATGAAACTAAGAGTGAGTGAGTGAGTGAGTTAACCTTGGCCATTGTGGTTTCTTGAAACAGAGAAGCGAGTTATGCTAGGCCAATATTCGTAATGGTAACTCTCTGAGTCTAAATGGCTATTAATAGTGTGGTTATGCTGCGCGTTTTCTCTTATTCCTTCTTTCTTCACATTCACCTTTATTTTATATTTATTTATTTTGATTTTTGAGTCTAGCAAAGAAACTTCTTACCTCTTACCAAGCAAATTCTACCTGTCATCGTTACCTTTTGCTTTGTTAGGTTTATAAATGTTAGTATCTATTTTTGTTTATTTCATTATTTTGTGTTTTTATTCTCTGGGTCAATGGGCTTTTAGACCCACTTTATGACTACCATTAGACAAGATCCGAAAAAAAAATTAAAGTTGATTTATGACTTATAAGTCTTGTAAATGTAAAGACTTTTGGTTGCAGTCACTTTCTGTAATTGCAGGATTATTTTGGTATTTATTTCTTTTTTTAATGATCCTTCATATTCATAAATTTTCTTAACAAGCTACTGCCTATAAATATAATGCAACAAGCCATAACCCTCGAATTACTATTTCAACACGAACTATCACCCGTATCACGACCCATTTAGCGCTTTTGTAATTAGCTCCAGACTGCACCTCTTAGTGTAATGCATGGCAAATTTAGTGGTGTGATTCGGGTTTTTAATCGATTTGGAGAAAATAATTTAGTTTTTAAATAGGTTACAAAAATATGATACGCCTCGGTTTGGTTCTTGAATTGAAGTGATTTAAAAAAATAAATCGGCTGAACCAATTAAAAAAAATATTATTCTTTGATGAAGTAATTTGCGTTTTGCAACTCTGTCTTTTGCAAAATTAGAATTTCTTTCTAGAAAAAAAAAACTTTTATCCATGGTGTATACAGAGATTTTAATTATCACATGTCACAATGGGTGCAGCTCAGTTGATAACTTGGCGCTGAGTTAGTGGGGTTGTATATATGTTCGATTCTCGCTGAATGCATTCTTGGGGAGGGGGCTGAACCTTTAGCCATCACTGTTCCCCGCACTCCGGATTAGTCTCATAGCCGGCTCAAAGAGTCGAAGCTCGTGAGGATACCGGAGGGAGCCAACTCGTCTCAAAGAGATAATTAGGGTTGGGTAACTCAAAAAAAAAAAGATATTACTAAAGAAATATAAAAACAAGGTTTCTTGTCCAGAAAAGAAACTCACTAAAATATATTTAAAATTATTAGTGTCTTTGTATCTTTAGCTAACCCCTCACCCCGTACAGTACTTAACAATATAACGATTAACTTCTTCCCTCTTAGCAAGCAAATATTCGTGTCACCCAACGGATCCACCTTCAATTAGGCTGGGCCTCCATCAATGCAAAAACACTCAGTTGGGTTGATAAATTCGCAAGCAAACCCTGTTTCTGCCGCTTGCTTGGGTTCGTTTATAGTTGTCTTTCTTCTTGTTTATTTGTGTTTTGTTCTATGGACTTTTACGTATCTAGGCCCACTTTTGTAACCACTAAAGAAAAAACCGGAAAAATAAAGTTGTCGCGAGTTCCGAAGTTCCGGACAATCTTGATAAATAGCAAATCCTGTTTTGGTTCGGTTCCCTGATACAAAAGACATGTATTATGCGTTAACGGCTAGCTAGTCCATGGGTGTTCTTCGATAATTAGCTGGCAATACGTTCATGAGAACAAGATTTTCAGCCATATACTGCTGCAATTAGCCGAATAATGGCACGAGTTCGATTACCTGGATTCCCTGCGGAGTATGTGAACACATAGCTGATTAAGGTAGTTGGGAATTGGTAAGGAAAATTCATTAAAGTCGATGTTGCTACAACAACCATGGTGATGGACTGTGTTCCAACCCCATCTTTAGCTTTCCGTATGAGGGAATACTGCTGCTTTGGTGTTCCCACATCATATATTATAACGAATATATATATATATATATATATATATATATATATATATATATATATTTTTTTTTTTTTGTATTATAACAAATAATATTGAAAATGCAATAAATTCTGATTTTATCAAGTGAGAAAGAGAAAAGTTAAAAAAGAGAGGATATTAGAGTGAGAAAAGATGAGTTGTACTCATAGAACTTTTTAATTTAACTAATTTTTACTTTTTGTTTATTGAAAGGTAAACAAAAAAGGTAATCATTATCCTTGCAATCATGACACCAAGGCACAAAGAAAGCGGAGAATATTTTTAGGGAAAAATGTGTATTATTTTAAAGAACATGAAGTTGTGTCATTTTAAGTGAGAGAAAAAGATAAATCATAGGAGAGAGAATGGAGGAAAAAAAGTTTTAAAGATGTGAGTCTCATTTCTTTTTGAGAATGAAAGAATGTAAGGTGTGTTATTTAAAATGACATACATTTTTCCCATATTTTTAACATGTCCATAATCAATTATAGGAGAGAGAAGGAGCGAACAACTCAACAAGCCGCAACTGTTTGATGCAAGAAAAGAAAAGTCATCTCCACTAGAACGATGGGAAGGAAGCATCGAGTTAATCTCCAAAATGCCACCCTCTGACCAATATAAAAAGGAAGCCAGAAGCAGACAAAAGAGTTTTTTCTAGCCACACGAGACTCTTCACGGGCACTTATCACCTTCTCCATTTTCATCTTGATTTTTTGCTCATTTTTCTCCAATCTGTTAGTCCCATGTTCTCAAATTGAGTCTGTAACTTCTGTTCTTGTTTTCTGTTTTCATCTTTTTTCCATTGATTCTCGGTAATCTGTAATGGGATTTCAGGGAGTAGAAGTTTTCTTTTGTATTTTCAGTCATGACTATATGCATGAGCTAATTTGTTATAAGAATGGATAATATGTGAAGTTGATAATCATTGTAATCAAAGTTCATTTTCTGATTTCAATGGATTTCTAGTGTTTTGTGTTTTTATTGTTTTGTATCAATGGAAACTAAACAAATTTGAGAGAAGAACTTCCATTAGGAAGTGATCTTGGACTGTAAAATACTGGTTGGAAGGTGAAAGTGTGGAAACACATTTACTAGTTGCCTTAGGGATAAAGAACCCCTAAGTTCAGTAAGGTTCAGTGCAGTGAAAACTTAGGAACAAAGTCGCTAGGGAACACGATATTTTGTACACCAATCAACCCAAGAGCTTGAGAAATCAATATTGGCAATGAAAGTGACCTGAACAAATCCATTGGATGGGGTCTTGAGCCGAGATTATGGCTGGTTTTCAGTGAATCATTGAATCCATTCTTAGTTTCCTTACTGACATTCCACATTTCTATTTTTACTGTTTCTGTCTCAGAACTCCAAATTAAAGAAAGTCAAAAAGATTCATTTAATTACTGCACTTTCTTCTTATTGCTTAGTTTTATTTCATACAAATAGTTTGTTCTCTTGACCTGTCGTTCCTCCTCTTGAAGGAAGTATTAAAATCACATAATTACGTGAGTAATTATTTGAAACAATTTGAACTATCTGTCAAAGTGGGAACACCACTATGATAGCTAGGAACAACACACTGAAAGTGATTCAATTCTGTTTTGTAACTTTCTTTTATACCTTTCTTGATTTTTATACAGTTTAGCAATTCAAAGTAACAATACGTTCTCCGTGGGATGATATCTTGGGTCAATATATTCTAATTTATTACGTGGATACGCGCACTTGTGTGAGTGCAATCATCTTAGAACTCTTTCCTTATTGAATTGCACACCAACAAGTTTTTTAGGGGAAAATTTGCGAGGATTTGCGTTGAGCTAGACCTAAGCAAGCCACTCTAGGCAGATTGCAAAATTGAAGAGCGTATTAAGAATGTAGAGTATGAGGGGCTACACTTGGTATGCAACAATTGTGGTCAGAATGGACATCATACAAAAAATTGTTTTGTAATGGTGAACCAAGTGAATCCTTTGAAAGGGGCGATTAATAACCAAGTGAATCCTCAATGCGAGAATTCTTACCTTGAACTTCAATGATTTTATGCCAATTGTCCTTCAAAGCAACCAATTAAGATCAACACAATTCAAATGCCCCATTTTCACTCAATGCCGAAGGTACCTTAGAAACAACATGGAGGATTTTCAGACTTTTATTCAAGATTAACATGATTTAACTAACCCAAATCAATTCCACAACACACAGTAGGCCTAGGACACCATTTCATAAATTTTAACACATCCCCCCTCCTTAGGCTCATAATGGCCGAAATTACAAAGGGGAGTTTCATGAGACTTTTTCAAATTCCCAACACATTCACATGCCTTCTAACATTCCTTCAACTTATATGAACATACACCCCCAATGCACAACCTTTTCCTATGCATTTTTGTTTTTTCATAAAAACCTTAAATTCCTCATCAACTTCAAATTCATGAAATCAAATATTCAAACCATAAGAATTGAGTTATCTTACTGATGAGTCTCCAATTTATTATATATTAAGGGTTAATATAAGCATAAAATTGATTTAAAAGTAATTAAAAGTTATGAGAATTATAATTAAATTTTTATTTTATTCTCAATAACATTCTCATAAAAATTCTTATATTTTGTAATAAATTTCAGCTCAATAAAAAGATAAATTAGATAGATCAATTAGAGTTGCTTTGGATTTCTGAATCATTGAAGATCTTATTGAATCTTCCTTTGAATATTTTTAAGGAAATTTTTCCATTAAATAAAAAAAGGGAAGATTTGAAGGATTGGATCAAAGATATGATAGGATATTCTAGTGAAGATTCCATTGAAGATGTTATGGAAAATTAAAAAATATGGTTTCATCTCTATAAAAAGGCAATTCTTGGAACACAAAAGGAATTGGACAGAGGCAAGCACATTCAGAGGAAGAAAGAGAATACCGGATACCAGAGTTGGAGATTTCAGAGAGAGATGAGCTTGAAGGAGATTGAGCAATATTGATTCTTCTTTTTCTTCTTCTTCGTTTTATTTCTTTGTTTTATTTAAGCTAGCTATGTCTGGCTAGTTTTCTTTTGTAGTTAGGGTCATGGATCTGATGTGAACCCTTTTGATATTTAAATTGTTTTATAATTCTTTTATTTCAATTAGTTTTATTTTACCTTGAATGAAAATTTTATATCCTTATTAGAACTGATCACTCTTATAGGGCTTTGAGGGTTAGAGCTCGCAATAGACATATTGAGATTTTAATTCTGACTAGGGTAAAATAACAATTTGTGGATGATCCAGACATAGGCTTGTATGAATTGCAGACTTATTAATTCATTGAACTTAATGCTTAATTCAAGAAGGATTACTAAGACATTAGAATTCTAATTGGGTTAAAGGGTTAAATACACTAAGACATTAGGATTTAACCAATTAATTTAAAGAAGATGAATTATCTTAACAATTGAAATAATTGATTATAAGAATTAATTTAGATTAATAAGGGGGATCAAAGGTGAAGTGTATTCTGACTACAGTTCCGTATTTTAATCTTTATTCATATTTCTTTTTGCGTTCTTGAATATTCTTGAATGTTCTTGATATTTACTGCAATCAATTTTAACTACTTTTATTTTAGTTCAAATTATATTTTCCAAACCAAATCGAGTTTTTCAAATTAAGGGGACTAGTTATAATAATACTTGGTGCTTTAATCCTAGTGGGACGATACAATACTTGCCGTAATTGCAACACTTACCACGAATGTCTCCTGCACCAAGCAAGGACCCATCAACAAGTCCTTAATTCTTCAAAACTTCAAATTTTCCTCCACTTGATGAATAGTGACAGCCACAAAGAAAGAGGAATCTCTCACTTAATAATGATTCCCAATAAGAAATGAGCTAAGGAACATTTTCATGATGGGCATTCTTGGATTTGATGACACAAAGAGGTGAAAATGGAAGAAGAATGAAAAGCACTCCTAAGCCCTAAAAGAGGGAGATGGTTGCAGGTTTGGGCATGGAAAGGAAGAGGAAGATGAAATCAAAAGTGTGTTGTCTCTCTCTTATGCCATGCCACTAAAATGGTCTCACATAAAATGCGCTGCAAAACTGATCAGCCAAGGGAGGGGTGGTGCCCTAATGAGGGGTGCCATGTCACTTAAGAGGCATTCATCCTTTAGTGAGACCCAGTATAATTTTTATCTGAACCGTCGTCAAATTTTTTACCCGAAAACCTCCAAGACTCTAACTTTGAGTACTTAACATTAATTTTGTCTAATTATCATGTTCATAACTTAAAAATTTGATTAGTAGATCACAAATCCACTAACAGTTGTTTAATTGCACTATAGTTTTTACCGGTGTTCTTAATTGTACCCAGATTTCATAATCTTCTTAAATTTAACATTATTGGTCTAATTATGACTTGTTAGGAATATATTGGTCTTTATTTCCATTTTCTCATTTTTTCTGTTCCGGGATTCTACCGGCTGCTGCTACAGTAGTACAAAATACCCGACAGAAGTGACTTTTCAGAAATACTCCAATATGGGCATCAATCTTCATCAAATCATATCCTAACCTCATTCATGATGTTTATATCATTATATTAGCTCTTTAACAATAATTTTCTCACTTGAAACTATTCTACTGATTGTTATTGCGTCAGCAGTCAAAATTAACAGGTGAAAATTCATCTGTGCATAATACTCTCAATATGGATATCAAAATTCTTAGAATTTCATCCTCATTCCATTTATGACCATAAGGTCCTCATTATAACCCTCTATATTAAAATTCATATAATTACGGTTATTATATTCACCACATCTTTTAAAAAGATTTTGTCCTCAAAATTGGATCATACCTGATATCAAAGTCGAGATATCGCTGGAGAATATCATCTTCCCTCTCCCATGTGGCATCCTCAGGTGTCAATCCTTCCCATTGAATCTTAATCATGAGGATGACTCTATTTCGAAGTCGTTTCTCTTCTCGAGCAAGAACCTTAGAAGGTCCAACAACGAACTTCAAATCCTTCTTAACCTCTATGTCATCCGGCTGTACAATGTGTGAATCATCAAATATATATCTACGGAGCTGACTCACATGGAAGACGTCATGTAGATTCGCCAAGTTGGGAGGTAGAGCAAGTTGATACACCACCGGTTCGACCCTCTTTATTATCTGGTAGGGCCCAATGAACCGTGGACTCAACTTCCTCACTCCCAAGGCATGCCCAACACCTGTAGTGGGTGATAATCAGATGAATACATGATCCCCTTCAGAGAACTCCAGGGGTCTGTGCTTGGCATCATAATAACTCTTCTGACGGCTTTGGGCTTTCTTCAGCCTATCTCTGATCATCTCAATCTGCTCTGTAGTCTCTTGGACCAAGTCTGGCCCCATTAACTGTCTTTCTCCAATTTTCGTCCGATAAGGAGCCATGCCCAAACTGGCATGATAACTGTTGTTGTAGGAGAACTCAACCAGTGGTAGGTACTTGGCCCAAACATTACCCTGCTCTAACACACATGCTCTCAACATGTCCTCTAGTATCTGAATGGTCTTCTTTGTCTGACCATCTGTCTGCGGGTGATATGCACTACTCAATATCAATTGAGTACCAAAGGCCTCATGTAACGCTTCCCAGAAGCGTGAAGTAAACTTCGGATCCCGATCACTGACTATGTTTTCGGGAATGCCATGAAGCTTCACAATCTCTCTGACATATAGTCTGGCTAGCTGCTCTGTGGAGAAGGTTGTCTTGACTGGAATGAAATGGGCGGATTTAGTTAACCTATCAACCACAACCCATATAGAATCAAATCCAGCCTGACTTCTTGGTAATCCGACAACAAAGTCCATGGATATACTCGTCCACTTTCACTCTGGAATATCTAATGACTGTAACAAACCAGAAGGCTTCTGATGCTCAATTTTCACCTTATGACAAATAAGACACTTATTCACAAATTGGGCTATGTATTTCTTCATCCCAGACCACCAAAAATTCCATTTCAAATCTTGGTACATCTTAGTTGCACCTGGGTGGATGATGTACTTACCCATATGGCCCTTTGTTAACACTTCTTCCACCATTGGTCCCTTCGAGACAATTAATCGATCTTTGTAGTATTTCACATTAGAAGCATTGGTAAACACAAAATCTTGCCCTTTAATCATTTGAATCCCTTCATCAAGCACTTGGGCCTCTTTAACTCTCTCCATTAATGAATTTCAGACTTCAACCATAGTCATGAAATATGAAGTCTCAAATGGTGTCACAGAAATTCTCAAATCTCTGAACTCCTCAATCAAATCATACTCTGCAATCATCATGTTAGCCACACCCGTGGTCTTTCTGCTCAAGGCATCAACCACTACATTCGCCTTTCCAAGGTGATACTGAAAGGTCAAACTCATAATCCTTCAGAAATTCCATCCATCTTCTTTGCCTCATATTAAGCTCTTTTTGACCGAACAGGTACTTCAAGCTTTTATGGTCACTATAAGCTGTGAAAGTAGCACCATAGAAGAAATGCCTCTATATTTTCAATGTGAAAACCATAGCCGCTAACTCAAGATCATGAGTAGGGTAATTCTCTTCATGTGGTCTTAACTGTCTAGAAGCATAGGCCACTACCTTTCGCTCCTGCATCAACACACACCCTAATCCATACTTGGATGCATCACAATAAATCTCAAATCTCTTTTTCGGATCAGAAAGAATCAAAATCGATGTGGTAGTCAACTTATCCTTCAATTCTTGAAAACTCTCATCACACCCAAGGGTCCAAGCAAATGGCACCCCTTTTCGGGTCAACCTAGTCAATGGCAAGGCGATTCTAGAGAATCCATTAATAAACCTCCTGTAGTATCCGGCTAAACCCAGAAAACTCCGAATTTCAATAACACTATTGGGTCTCTCCCAATCCGGCACAACTTCAATTTTACTCGGATCAGCAGCCACTCCAGCAGATGAAATGTCGTGTCCAAGAAACTGGATCTCATGCAACCAAAACTCACACTTGGATGGTTTGGCATATAACTGATGCTCCCTCAGAATTTGTAAGACTATCCTCAAATGCTCTGCGTGCTCTTCTTTACTCTTGGAGTAGATCAAAATATCATCAATGATACCATAACAAACTGATCTAAATGTGGTTTGAATATTCGGTTTATATAACTCATGAACACGATCGGGGTATTAGTAAGCCCAAATGGGATCACTAGATACTCATAGTGCCCATATCTGGATCGGAAAGCCGTCTTCGAAATATCCTCTGCCTTTACCAGGATCTGCTGATATCCGGAACGAAGATCAATCTTCGAGAACACTGAAGCACCCGTGAGCTGATCCAACAAATCATCGATGTGGGGTAGAGGGTACTTTTTCTTCACTGTTACCTTGTTAAGTTGTCGGTAATACGTGCACAACCTCATAGTCTTATCCTTCTTCTTCACAAAGATGACTGGTGCACCCCAAGGAGATAAACTCGGTCTGATAAAGTTCTTACGAGACAATTCTTCTAACTGCTTCTTCAGCTCTGCTAGCTCCACTGGTGACATCCTATATGAAGCCAATAAGTTAGGCCCCACACCAGGTACTAAGTCAATAGAGAATTCAATCTCCCTCTCAGGTGGAAAATGGAGTATTTCTTTCGGAAATGCGTCTTCAAACTCGCATAAGACCGGAATATTAGCAGTAAGTTCTTTGGAGTCCCCTACAAGTCCTTCCAGGATAATGTATCCTGCATCTCCCTCGTTTAGAGCTTGATTTAATTTCTGTACCGTCAAGTACAAATTGTCTGGCTTTTCTCCTTTTGCAACAAAGAAAACCCTTCTGCTACAACAATCTAGCATCACACCATATCAGACCAGCCAATCCATACCTAAGATAATGTGTAGATTCATGCCCTCAAGCACTATCAAATCCACCATATACTCTTCTTGCTCATATATGAATCTGGCTTCTATGCACTTCAAAGAAGTAGAAATAATGTCCCCGGTGGCAGTCTTCACTACCATGGGAGGCGTGAACTCATGGATGGGCAACTGTAACCCATTAGCAATAAATTCTGATATGAAGGAGTGGGTAGCTCCGGAATCAAACATGGCATCAAATGCATATCCTCTGATAAGAATAATACCTCTGATAAGGTTTGGAGACCTCTCTGCCTCCTGTTGTGTCACTGCATATACCCTGGCACTAGTGGGCACTATAGGCTCCTCTATGGCTCTCTGAGTAAGCACGGTCTGAATAGGAATCGCCTGTATGGCTGCAACTTGCCTCGTCTTCTTGGGGCACTCCCGAGAATAGTGTCCTGTCTGACCACAACTGAAGCAAATATTCTGCCCCAGTCTACAAACACCTGGATGTGTCTTCCCACACTTGGCACAAGTGGGGATCTTCCCTGCACCAGACATGCCATTTCCATTCTTCACAAAGGGAGTCTTCTTAAACTTGGTGCTCTGTTGTACTTGCAAACCTTTTCCCTTACCCTTCCAGGGCGTAATCCTCCCACTAAAGCTCTTCCCAGCTGCTTCATTACCTCTGGTACGATAGTACTCCTGTATGTCCTAGCATTTCTTAATCAATGCCACAAAATCTCTGGTACAATGACCAGCCAGCTTTTCTGCAATCATTTCATTCAAGCCCTTTTTGAATCTATAGGCTTTGTCTTCTGGAGTGAGGGGAGCTCTACCATAAGAAGAGTATTTTGCCAAACGGTTGAACTTGCCCAGATATTCATCCACTGTCATGCCTCCCTGTCTGAGGTCCTCAAATTCACTTCTTTTCTTTTCCCTTGCTTCCTCCGGGAAATATTTCATCAGAAGATGTCTCTCAAAGAGTGGCCAAGTAATAGCATACCCTTGGCACTCCAGTGGGTGCCTGACATTGTTCCACCAATCTGCTGCGTCTCCCTGTAACATATACACAGCATATAGAAGCTTCGTGTTGGCAATACACTCCATAACCTGAAAAATACACTCCATCTCCTAGAGCCACTATAGTGCTGCAATAGGATCTCTCCCACCTTTGTAGTGAGGTGGGGAATGCTTCCTGAAAGCATTCAGCATCCGCTCTCTGGTCTCCCGATCAAACATAGGTGGCACGACTGATCTATCCACCTCTATCACTGGTTGCCTCTCATGTCCCCCACGAACGGATGCCTCTGCCTCCTGATGAGCCTCTCCTTCCTCTTCCTGTCTCAGCACGATAGGCTCAAGAATCGGTGAGATCAAAAATACGTGCAGCCTACTGCTGCACCGGTGGTGTAATTGGAGGTGGTGGAGATCCACCTCGTACCTCCACCAATTTATGACCTCCACCAATTTATCATTAGCCCTTCTCATCTGCTTCCTGTCACATTAAGTGTGGAAAAATCCTATATACTATAAGGGCTTATCTTATATTACGTATAAGACGTGATCCATGTTGGTTTGTACCTAGCTACTATGCCATAAACTTATTAAGCTAACTTTTTAATCTTATTGTACGTGGAGAAAGGACATTGGCCCCCCCAAATTCCTACTTTTATATCTTGACACTATAATCAAGTGAAGAGTCAGTCCAATCCATTACGCGGCACTGTCCCATTAGTTGGGGAATCAAATCCCACGTGGTTGTGATCGTTTACTTCACGTGGTCTTACACCACCTTGTTCTGTGGCAGACATGCGGGTGCACGGCTCTTTCTTACTTTCAATATATCACAAAAAAAAAATTTTATAATGGAGTTCTTAATCAAATCCTTTTCCATTCATAATGGATAATCCAACGTATAATCACCTTTTTCTATTGACTTATCTCTCCTCATATTCCTTTATAGGACAAATATGTGCCATTCGGATAGATTGTGTCTAGTTGAATTGGTCCCAATTAATCTTGAGATTTGAGTGAAGTGAAGTAAAACACACGTAAATAAATTGTTATGTAGTACTCTTTTCTCAACTCACCTTTCTATCCCTTTCTCTCCCTCACTTTCTCTGCCTTCAAATTCTTATCATAAAAAGATTTGGCTACAAGTGTGTGAAAATTCTTAACTTTCCATTGCCATAGCAGACTATTATGTTCGTTCCAATATGTTGCCTTTGTCTGCATTTGCACCTGCACTTGGTTTTCTTTGCTCTTATTTACCACACAAAAACATGTCCATGGAGAAAGAAAAAATTAAGGCGAATGTGAGAGTGGGAGGGAGCAAGCACGAGGTGCAGGTGCATCTGCAGGTGAATGCCATCTTGGCTATGATATACTTTTACTTCAACTTTTTGGTTTGGCCTCTTAGGGTGTGTTTTGCTTGCGCTTGGAAAAAGGGTAAGATCACTGGCTTTTCACTGTTTATATGTATATAACAAGACGGTAGCTTTTGGTTCTTGAAGCATGTTATATATATAGCAGTATATATACACAGTACGTACTTGTGCAGATCCAGATCTGAATATGGAAGTAGAGTTATCTCAATTTATATATGTTACAATTTAGTTAACAAGGGACCAAATTCGAGTAGATGACTTAGGGCTTGTTTGAAATCAGTTTTCAAAAATATTTTTTTGATTTTCAAAATAAAAAAAATGAAAAACATCGTTTCGGAAGACCTGATTTGTAAAACTAATTTAAAAAATTATAATTATTTTTTATTTTTAGAATCAAATTTAAAAAATATATCTGATTTGTTTTTATTTTTTGTTTTGATTTTTGATTTTTAATTTTTAAAACAAAAAAAACATAGAAAACAACTGGATTGATAATTATTCTACACAAAACAATTTTAAAAACAAAAAAGTTATAACAGAAAATCAAAGAGGCCTGCACTTCCCACCTTTTTGAAACAAATGGATGATTTTAAAGAGCTTATTTAGCAAATTCTGATTAAAAAAACATTACTTGTTTTCCAATTGTGGTTAATTTAGTTAGAGGCTATGAAACCATCAACATGGTCCTAATGGATTTTAGTCTTTTGAAGATGAAAATGTTGTTGCAAAGTAACCCCGAAGCTAAGTAACCACTAGTTTTGATATGTCACTGCAGACCCTTTTGGTTGATTAATATTCCAGAATTCGTCAGAAAGAGAGAGTACAGGACCTGGTAGTTTCTCTTTTTCTTTTGTTTTTCATTTCCTTTCGATCAGTAAGTAAGTCCCTTGGGCTTATGAAAACGACACAAGCTGAATCTTAGCAACTTGTTTGCTTGTGCTTTATAAAAAGGGTGTACTATTTTGATATTTTATTATGTTCATAAAATGAAAAGGTGGAACCCCTAGTTGTTTCTTAGTAGATAGGTTTTGCTAGCTATTGACCTCTGGTCAATTAACATGATGAAGTTCTGGCTTATATTTTTGAGGTATTGAAAAACAAGAACGGACTTATGAGATAGAGAGCATATATGACTATGCCCTAGCCAATGATCAAATTAACATGCTTATACAATATGATGGTGCCATTTTCATTTGGTATATAATCTGCAGAACAGACTTGCACACAAACACGATGATATTCACTGATTAACACGTTTTGGGTGTAATGTAAACATCCTGAATATACTGACCCCAGTGAAACGCTTCTGTTTGAACACAGTTACCTTTATTCGATTGCGGAGCTCGAGCTACGGCGAGTCAGAAGTGTATGCTCAACATAAAGGTAATAATATTATGAGGAAAGAAAGTACTAATTTGTATTTTTATTTTTATAAATTTTTAACATATTAAATACTTTATTTTTATTTTAATAATTTATCAAGAAAAAATATTATATTTATAAACTTTTTGTTTATAAATTACACTATATCTTATCAGTAAGACATTTTTAAATAAAGTCTTACCTGTAAAACATAATACGGTTTATAAATTTGTAAAAAAAAAATTATGAATATAACCTTCCTTTAGTATGTATAAAATACTCGAAAATCTTATATATAACACATTGAACCGTACGTTACTGAGCTTTGTATCATCTCTTGTTTTGAAATACGGGAACTTTTATTTTCTTTGTACTTTTTAATAGAAATAAAATAAAATAAAGGAAGTTGTTAACACAAGTTCTACGGCTTTTTGACCCTTATGACCCTTAATTAATAATTAATTATCAAATTGTCCTTCATTCAAAACTATTTCGAAAATTTACCCTCCCCAACAAACATAACACCAATCTGCCCCTGTTTGACCGTTGACCACGAAGCCTACCCGGGTACACCATTACCTACCCGGGTAATTTTTGAAATTTTTTTATCTACCCGAGTATGTAGGAGTGTACCCGGGTAGAGTTCTTGAATCTGGGAAAATGGTTGAATTATTTACCCGGGTATGGATCAGTGTACCCGGGTAAATCGCGTCCAGAAACCCCAATATGTATGGGTTTCGGCCATTGTTGCGAGGTATAGGGTTTTTGAAACCCCAAATCTCTCTCTCTTGCCCTCTCTAATCCGAAACATCACACATATTTCATCTCATCATTTCAGAAAGCTGAATCTTGGTGGGACATTGAGATTACATCTCCACACTCCCATTTTGTGCTCAAAAATTCGAACCAACCTCCAAACCCAAAACCTAGATCTAATTTTTGTGTGAAATATGAGTTCAAGTCCAAACATGGTTCCTATAGTTATTTACTACAATGGGAGGCATTTTGAAGGTCCGAACGGTGTCCGGTTTGAAGGAAAAACAAAAACGATGAAAATCAAAGTGGGCACTACATGCAATGAACTGAAGGAGAGAATTCTTCAAAAAATAGGGTCAGAAGGCATACATTCCATCCCCCGCATGATAGCCAGGTTAGAGACTGTAGTGGATATGGATACAATATACTACATTGGAAACAATATAAATGATGATGAAGATGTGGAGTTCGTAACATATGCGTTTGTTGAATGGAAAGTATTAAAATATATTGAGATATATGTTGAAGTTGATGTTGGACAATCTTCATCTTTACCGGTGCATACAACCACTACTGCACACTGTACCGGTCAAGAAGATACAGTTGTACGATCTTCTGCACCTCCTCAGGTAGCATTGGATGAGGATGAAGAGGATGAAGACGAGGACTATGTGGACAGCGAAGATGAGGGAGAACCTGAAAGTGCTATTCCAGAAGGTGATTCGTCAGACACTGACGTGGACGGTAATTTTGAGGCTGACATGAGCGCCGTAAGTCTCGGTACCCCAGCCTTGTCACCACTTCATCTCGACCCAGTCAGTAGTGGTAAGTTATTAAATTTGAACATTTGCTTTAGACAATTTATTATTTGTGGTGGTATTCATTCAGACAAATGAGAGTTGATCTTTAGATGCAGGGTTTGAGAAGCCATTCTGGAATGAAAGCCAACATTATTCATTCATTAACTGGGCGCACCCTAATGACGAGTTGGAGATCCTATATGGCGATGATGACTTGCACGGAGGTTGGAAGTTAGGAGATCCGTTATTTGTGCAACAAGAATTTGGGTCCAAACCAGAATTGCAACATGCTGTGAAGATACATTGTATGAAGGGGCGCAGGACAACCATAGTTGAAAAAAGCGACGAGTCAAGATTTGTTATGAAGTGTAAAAACCATGCTGACGGTTGTCCCTGGTATATGAGGGCAATTAAGCCGAAGAAGGGAGCTAATTGGGTGGTCCGTAAATGGGGTCAAGGTCACACATGCCTAAATCAAGGCCTAACACAGGATCATAGACAGTTGGATTCAAATGTCATTTGTGCGGCTATAATGAGTATGTATTCTACTGTGTATTTAATGATTCAGATTAATTGAGAATATGGTAAAGTTAATTTTTTTTTTCCAGATATGTTAAAGGAAGATCCATCCACAAGACCAACTCTGATACAGGAGAGGATACAGGGAACATATGGATACAACATAACGTACAGGAAGGCCTGGAAGGCAAAAATGAAGGCCATCGTTAAGTTGTTTGGTGACTGGGAGAAATTGTACGGATTCTTGCCAAATTGGCTGAAGTATATGACGGAGGTGAATGTGGATTCTGTGTTCAAGCTTGATACAAATCAATGTTTTGATGAACGTCGGGTTTATACAGATAGGGCCGTATTTCAAAGGGTTTTTTGGACATTTCACCAATGCATTGAAGCATTCAAACACTGCAAGCCTATAATTCAAATTGACGGCACTCATCTGTATGGGAAGTACAGAGGTACTCTATTGATTGCAACATCTCAGGATGGAGATGGATTTCTGCTCCCTATTGCCTTTGCTGTTGTTCCTCCAGGTGAGTAAATAATTTTGCTTTGGGGTATGTGAAAGCATGTGACCCTTCTTTGCCACTTCATAATGAAGAATGCGAGCAGAAACTGACAAGTTGCTAACAGGATAATGAGCAAAATGACCGGGCTCAGCGTCTGCCCTCCTAGTCTCTGTAACAATGGTCTCCCGGTTATAATCACCAAATATATGATGGCTGTCTCCATCATATAGTGCTGCTCCTGTGACACCATCAAAATCGAACCCCAGTAGCTCCGTCCAGATAGGAGCAGTCATGATGATATCAATCCCGCAGACACGGGAAGTCAGCTCGCCTTGCGAGTAGCCAAGGTTCTGGTTGAAGGCTCTTACCATAACCTCCGAGTATGGGCACCGCATCTCCGCCAGGTGAAGTAAATGTGTCTGCTCAAGAAGCGGCACAATGTCAAAACGCTCTAGGTTGAAGAATGCCGAATCCAGTGATTTCGGTTCACAGATCTTCCGGGTCATGAAAAACTTCACGAACTTCTCGTGTGAAGGTATGTCATCCTCAAACAAATATCCGAACGTCAAGTCCGGAGCCTGACTCGAAGCAGCCTGGGGCTGAGAGGATGACGACCCATCGTGACGACTCTTGGTTCTTCTCTCGGAATGGGTCACTAGCAGCTTTGAAACGCGTCGAGAGGTCATTGTGTCACACTATTAAACTGAAAAAATAACCAAAATCAGAAATTAGATACATGTTAGGGTACACTGCTCCATACCCGGGTAAATAACCAAAATCAGAAATTAGATACATGTTTACCCGGGTACACTGCTCCATACCCGGGTAAATAATTCAACCATTTTCCCAGATTCAAGAACTCTACCCGGGTACACCCCTACATACTCGGGTAGATAAAAAGTTTCAAAAATTACCCGGGTAGGTAATGGTGTACCCGGGTAGGCTTCGTGGTCAACGGTCAAACAGGGGCAGATTGGTGTTATGTTTGTTGGGGAGGGTAAATTTTCGAAATAGTTTTGAATGAAGGGCAATTTGGTAATTAGTTATTAATTAAGGGTCATAAGGGTCAAAAAGCCCAAGTTCTACTAATAAAATGGATTAGTTCTATTTTATTTGAAGAATGCTTAGTACTATTACTGAAGAAGATTATTTTGTATGTTTGTTGCAGAAACCGAAAGTTTTATAGAAATTAAAATTATTAATGATTTTCACTTACAAACTTAACATTTTGGATTAAAATGATTTTTTATATGGTCATTGATTACGGGATTACGAGTTTAATCCTCATCACTATCATTTTTAGTAGAATTAAGATAGCATAAAGTATAACCAAGAAAATAAACCTCTACAATATCCACACTTCAAACTCATTTTTATGTAAGGAATGTGTTGGAGAAATATCATATGAAATCATCAAAAACCCATCACTTACAAGCTCTAGTGATGAAATTTATGGTCTTCGATTGCTGTGGTGGGATTTATTAATCATAATTTTAATAATAAAAATAGGAATATGATTTAGTTTAAGAATGTATGAGTCCAAACATTAACAAAATGAAAAATTGAGAAAATATTGCTTATACATGCCCATACAATTTATATATTACATTTGGAGTTATTTGAGTGTGTGAGTTATCCTAAAAAGAGGTAACTTCTTGTGAGTTCTTATTTTATAAGTTCAACAAATTAAGAATTGAATTAGCCTGTTGAGATATACAGTCCATATTGATTGTGTGGGCAACTAATGTGTCTTTTATAAGGCCTTGAGCACTCTCATCCTTTGAGCTAGCTTTTGGAGTGGTGTATCCCAAGGTTCTTTACATATGGTATCAGAGCTTGAGTGACTATAAGGTCACAAGTTCAGTCCTCACCGTCCCCCACTTTAAAGTGGAATTAAAAAAAAAAAGCACAAAAGGTAAACCAAAAATTGGGCCTGTGCATAATTCACGCTTCAAGCCTAAAGGGCTCTCGTGTGAGGGGATGTGTTGAGATATACAGTCCCACATTGATTGTGTGGGCAACTAATGTGGCCTTTATAAGGCCTTGAGCACTCTCATCCTTTGAGTTAGCTTTTGGGGTGGTGTATCCCAAGGTTCTTTACATGGTATCAGAGCTTGAGTGACTACAAGGTCACAAGTTCAATTCTCTCTGTCCCCCACTTTAAAGTGGAATTAAAAAAAAATAAAAAAAAGCACAAGAAGGTAAACCAATATCCACACTTCAGGCCCAAAGGGCTCTCGTGTGAGGGAGCGTGTTGAGATATACAGTCCCAAATTGATTGTGTGGGCAACTAATGTGGCCTTTATAAGGCCTTGAGCACTCCCATTCTTTGAGCTAGTTTTTGGGGTGGTGTATCCCAAGGTTCTTTACACAGCCATTAACTATAAATATGTAGCGAGCGATTATCATCAATGGGGGCAACAGCGAGCGATTGTCATCA